AGTCTGGCGGACACACTGACACTGAATGACACGCGGAGAGCACTTGCTCAGCTGCGAAACAGCAAGTGTGCCGATGCCGACAAGATCCCGCCTGAAGTATTGAAACACGGCGGACCCCGTTGGTGACTGTGCTGCACCACTTGGCGCAACGCGTATGGATTGAGGAGATGATTCCTGAGCCGTAGGATGCACTTGTGCTACCACTGTACAGGGGCAAAAGGATCAAGCAATGTCGCACGAATAATCGTGGCATCGACTTGCCGAGTTGTGTGTGCAAGGTGATTGCCCGAATCCTGTTCATGCGTCTCGTCAGTCAGGTTGTGGAACCTAACGTGGCGGAAGAGCAATGTGGATTCCGCTCTGGTCGCAGCACTATAGATATGGTGCTTGAGACTCGTCAGTTGCAGGAGAAGTGCAGAGAACGACACCAGCCTTTGTACTCGCTTTTTGTTGATTTCACCAAGACATTTGATACGGTGAACCGCGAGGCATTGTGGCTGGTGTTGGGTAAGTTTGGTTGCTCGTGTAAGTTTATAAGTTTAATTGAATGTCTGCACAGTGGTATGCGGGCGAGGGTGCAGATGAGTGGAGGGACCTCAAGTGACTTCAGTTATCTATGGTGTGAAGCAAGGCTGTGTCTTAGATCCTGCCTGTTTAAGATTTATCTTCATGCAATGATGTCTTGTGCTTTCGATGCCGCTTGTGCTTACGGTGTGGAGCACCGTATTGATGGTGGGTTGCTAAACATCCGTCGTTTCGGTGCGAGAACTCTAGTCTGTGAAATAACTATCCGTATGTTGCTGTTCGCTGATAACTGTGCGCTGCTTACAAACAGCGCAGATGAGTTGCAGCATATGACTAGTGCTCTGGCTTCGACAACGGCCAAATTCGGGCTTACCATTAACACAAGCAAAACTGTCGGTCTCTTCCAGCTTTCACCGGTGGTGCAGTTTTCAATAATGCCGCGGAGCAGCATTGGTGCTGAAGTATTGGAAATCACCTCCCGCTTCTGCTACATTAGGAGTGTGTTGTCGACTGACCAGCAGCTTCACAGTGAGCTGCGTATCCGCGTCTCAAAAGCCGCGGCGGTATTCCGGATGCTAGAGTACCGAGTGTGGCACAACCATAAGCTTAACATTGGCACGAAGCTGGTGGTGTACAAATCCATGGTGCTGTCCGTTCTTCTATACGGCAGCGAAAAGTGGACGATGTACCGGCGGGATGTGCGATATCTCGAGCGGTTACATCAACAGTGTTTGCGACGGATTCTGCGCATCGGTTGGTGCGACAGAGTTGCTGACACGGAAGTGTTGCGCCGAAGTGGAATGTATGCAGTGGACTGCATACTTTTGCTGAGACACTTGAGGTGGCTCGGTCATGTGTGGCGTAGGGATTCGACGCGGATACCGAAGCAGCTATTATATGGTCAAATGAGTATTTGGAAGCGGCATGTGGGGTAACCGAAGCTTCGTTCCCAGGAGATGATTAAAGTGGGTCTCTCACGTTCTAATCTTGATTGCAGGTCATAGGAATCAGAAGGCGGTTGATCGGCGTGCATGGCGCCATCTGATCACGAAGGCCGTTGCCGATGTGCGAGAGAAAGCCCTCGTGAATGCAGAGAAGAAGCGGCAATTGTGGAAGCGACATGTGCACATCGGTTGTACTCCATCGACATCGAGCGCATGGTGCTGTAGAACATGCGGTCGCGAGTGCCTGAGTCAAGCAAGTCTAGTGATCCACGAGAGAGGCCACTCGCGGCCACCACCTAAGCGACGACGGGTCCTGCAGAGAACGTAAGCAGAACCGGCGCAGCGTTTGTAGGTATGCTGTACTCGACATTTTAATCTTGTGCTTGCATGCTGAGTCTCTTTATTTTAGGTGGTGGGTTTGCTATATTGTCTTAATGCGTTTTAATCTCATATTAATGTCTACCTGAACTAACTTCTATAAACTTGCACACGTCGCTTAAGCTAAGTGTAGTTAACTTCGATAACATTTTCGTGGTTGTGGCATAAGATACGTTTTCTGACGTATTGAACCTTTCGCGGATTCTCTGCAACCAATTTATTTCATATGCTCATTTCGTGAAGAGTTGTCACCGTGTGTGTATGCATTATTGGATTTATTTTATTTCGTCTTGTCGTTGCAAGTGATTGGCTGTTGCTTGATATCCCCAGTGTGG